CAAGTGCACAGTTTGAGTACATAGAATCAAGTGCATAGAGTCATCAAGCACAAAGTCCAGTGCTTGGAGTCAAGTAGATAGATTCATATAGTCGAGTGTATAGATGCACAGAATCTCTTTGCGCGCAGAAGTTCAGGTTGGCAGGAGAAGAAGCAAGAAGCAAGCGAACTTTTTCCTGTGACGGCGTCGTTCAGCACACTTGCTCTTTCGGAAGACAGTGTCGAAGCAAGGAAGCAAGGGTCCAAACTTCTCAGGATGCTCTGCTAGTTGCACCCGTGACGATCGATCAACGGGTATGCCGGCAGGCGGTGCTGTCTCCACTCGCGAAAGCCGTGGTCGAAGGAACCTCCGAACGGCACTGAAATGTGCGCAGCTGCAGTGTTTGCAACGCAAGTGTCGGTACCCAGAGTCGCGGGCGATGAAGATGCAGTCGATGACACCTGTCACAGGCAAGGGAAAGGAAATGAAGTTCAGGTTGGCAGTACAAGAAACAAGAAGCAAGCGAACTTTTTCCTGTGGCGGCGCCGTCCACGTTTGCTCTTTCGCAAGATAGCGTCGAAGCAAGCAAGCAAGCAAAGGTCCAAACTTCTCAGGATGCTCTTCGGTAGCCTACCGGACCTCAAGAGGACAACAACAGCGATAACAGGGAACCCGAGTAACATAGACATTGGTCCTCAGCGGCTGCCGTGCTCCCTGCGCTCACTGCTGCTCTACTCAGTCTGTGTCAAACGAGAAGTCTCTGCTCAACCATTCCTCGTGCTCGCATGCTTGCCGGCCTTGTGCCTCCCTGCGATGATGTCTCTTCCACAGGAACTTGTACCAGATAGCAGCGCCGTGCTCTTTTATGATATGCTGGTCCGTGTACTCACCCTCCTCCCATTGGTCGTATAGCTGTTGCGGGAAGGGCTCGTCCTGGTTTGCCTTCGTCTGGGCCGCCACTGCCAGTGTGGGTGAGGCATCAAAAAACTAAATAGGCAAAAAAACTAGACCGGAGAATCAAAAAAAACTTACAATAAGCATCAAAAAACTTAAGCCCTAAAGTAAGCATCAAAAACAAACTTCAGCACTAAAATAAACATCAAGGAAAACTAAGCTTTAAAAAGATAATCTTAGGATATGCGGCGCAAGGGACTTTTCGCCAGTCGCTGAGGGCACTGAGCCGGTACCCTAAATCACGTGTGAAAATCCCTGCAGCCTGGATTCCTCAGTGTGTTATTTGTAGCTTGAAAGTATGGCCGCATGTCACGTTTCTTCATCGCTGCGAGAGCATTATCTTGCCTGTGCTTGATATGCTTGTCTTCTTGTCTTGTTGTTGTTGATGATGTTTTATTGCTTTCATTGTCGTTGTTGATTTTTTACGTTCTAGTTACTAGTTGTTGTTTTTTGCTTTTTCTTTCGTGGTTTTTCGTTTTTAGCACTATTCCTGGCGATGTTGCTGTTATTTCCCTTTCGAC